AGTGCAGACCAGAGAGCATAACATGTCACAATTGATTTATTTGTTCTTTATATATGGGTATCATCATAGAATTGTGGAACGGTTGAGGTTGGAAGGGACCTAAAAGATCATCTTGTTCCACCTCCCTGCCCTGGGCAGGGACACCTCCCACCAGCCCAGGTTGCTCCAAGCCCCATCCAGCCTGGCCTTGAACCCCTCCAGGGATGGGGCAGCCACAGCTTCTCTGGGCAACCTGGGCCAGAGGAGAAGGACTTGGGGGTGTTGCTGGACAAGAAGCACAGCATGACCTGGTGTTGTGCTCTGGCAGCTTAGAAAGCCCCCTGCATCCTGAGCTGCATCCCCAGCAGCGTGGGCAATAGGGGGGATTCTGCCTCTCTGCTCCACTCTAGTGAGACCCCACCTGGAGCTCTGTGTCCAGCTCTGGAGTCCTCAACACAGGAAGGACATGGACCTGTTGGAACACATCCAGAGGGGGCCACGGAGATGCTGTGAGGGCTGGAGCCCCTCTGCTGTGAGGACAGGCTGAGAGAGTTGGGGGGGGTTCAGCCTGGAGAAGAGAAGGCTCTGTGGAGACCTTAGGGCCCCTTCAAGTCCCTAAAGGGGGCCTACAGGAGAGATGGGGAGGGACTCTTTGTGAGGGAGTGTAGTGACACGGTCATCTCTTTTCTCTTGTAAGTCAGGGAAGATGAGAACATGGATGTGGATTTATTTACAAGCATCAAAATGGGTTTCTATAAGTGTTACCTGTGCCTTCTTAAAAAGAACACACAAAAGCCATTGAAGAATTAACAAAAAATAAAAAATCTAAGAGACTGAACAGACCTGTTTTAGTTTATCCCCAAATGAGCACTAACTTTGAGGTAATTCTTGAAGTTTATCGCACTAACCAGGAAAGTGAGGTCATGTAAAATGAAATAGCTCATATTACCTGTGAAGGCAAAAGTGCCTTCTCAGCAGAGACTTGTTCGCTCTGTGCTTGTCCTAGACCATTATTTTCACTTCCCTGAGACGCCCTTCGTGAGGAATACTACAGGGAACAGATGTCACTTTTGGTAAGCTGTTCTGCACGGGGCTGTGGGTTGGAAACAAGGACTGCAAGCACCGAGCTGTGACAGATGTCACAGCCCCCCCAACACACACAGTCCTCACCCTTTAAAGGGTGTGCAACGTGGAGAAAAGAGCTCCTAGGAAGCATCAGAGGGAAAAAGCTGCCCAATGACCACAGGACCAGTGATGGAGTCCTAGAGCCTAACAACCACTGCCTGCCTGCCAGTGGCCCAGCCCATCCTTGCCAGCAACTTTTTTGTGTAGTGACACACCGGCAATGAACGGACATGATTTTTCACACAATAAACCACCAAGACCTGGGCAGGAGCTTCCAGTCCCTCTGAAGCACATGTGCAACTGCTCCGAGTAATATAACTTGCAAAGGCCAAGCCTTGGTGAGATGCTCGGGATGCTGTGCTCTCCCTCTTTCCCTCCTGCCCCGACTCCTGCTCAGGCTGTGGCCACCATGGCCACGACAACAGCAGTTGTGACAACTTGCACCTGGGCTTTGGGAGATGGCTGGCAACACAGCCAAAACACTGTCTGGAGTGGGGACCTAGAAATTTTGATCCCCTGAGAGTATGACGATAGGTCAATTATCTTACTCCATAAACAGTGGACAGCCCAAGAGCCTGATGAGTTCTCCTGTATGGCAGTGGCTGCACTCCAGGGTCTCCCCTTTTGTGAGGACACTCGCTTAAGGTTCTACTCCCCGAGGTTGAGAGATTCCTTGCCACAACAGATTCTCAGAGAGTGACTAATAGCCTGCTAAACTTTGAAATCTTAGCTAAGTAATATAGAGGGTTGATTGCACATATATAATCCTTTAGACATAAACCGTTGACCAAGTCTGGGACCAGGATTGGATCCAGCCGCACCCAGACTCCTCTCTGAGAAGGAGTTCAGAAAGCCAGGGGGTCCTTTCTGAACCTTGTGACTCAACGGGAGGGTCTCCCTGACAGCTTGTCTGACCCTGTCCTCTGGGCAGTCAATAATAGAGTGTGCCTTGACATGGAATCTCGTAAAACACTATCGCATTTACTACTGGTTTTATCGCACTTACTACTGATTTTGTTAAATCACTGTTTCACCTTAATAAATACTTCACTACTTCACTCTTAGGAGTGAAGTTAATCACTCCACCCACGACAGGGACACTGCAGCATCTGCAAGCTCCTGTGGCAGCCAAGGTAAGATGGCTGGGTTTTGTCACTCCGTGTCCCTTGGCATCCCATGCAGCACACCCGGCTCCACCAGCCTGTCTTACCATCTTGAGGGGTTAGGAATGATGCACAGGGGCTCACACCACCAGCACCCACAAGCATGAACTGGGGCCTGTGCTTAAGTTCCATCACTTTATGAAAACGAAACTTTTAGTTGATCGTTAGGATGTCTCCCATCTGTTAAACACCATCCCAGAGAGTTTGGTGACACGTTAAACGAAGCTGTGAAGAGATGTGGTGGGTTTTTTAGATATAATTGGACAGCTGTTTTATTATGAATTAATGAACTATGATGATTAAAAAGAATGCAGTTTTAGCAAACAATGTATTAACAATTACTCCTGGCTAAAATCAAAACTAAGAAAGTACTAGAGAACTTTCCTGATGATTACTGGAAGCAAAAGATGAAAAACCAGTGAGGTGCAGCAGGACGAGAGGTGCCTCCAGGCCAGGATCCCAGTGCTGGGCGTGAGTTCCTGGGGCTGCCCCACAGCAACCAAACCACTCCACATAGCCATGCTACCACTCCACATACTGCCATGTCCTCTGTCCTAAAGCCCCTGTTGGCCTAAATCAGTCATCAGGGTCTGCTCACACTCCTCCATCATCCCAGCCCCTCTTCATGCTCATGTCCCCTCTTCCCTGGCCATGAGACCCTATGAGGGAAAGAAGAGGGCACTGATGGCAGCAAGTTCAGAGGTGGAGATAATTGACCTCTTTGTGCTTGCAAAACATGTTTCAGAGTCCTTTTCCCCCTGCTCTAGGTCCCTTTGGCCGAGGCTGTTTGCCCTACAGGCATTGGGTGGAATGGGGTGTTCTCTGATGTAGGGCCATGTCCTTCCTGGCTGTGAGGAGACAGCCCCACAGCCACCCTGAGCATCAGCAGCACCATGAAAAGCTGATCCTGAGCCGAGGAGTCCTGCATCTGTCCGTCCCACACTTTCCCATTTAGAAGAGATTCCTTTATTTCAGCAGAACCCAGTGTCAACGAGCAGAGGTCACAGGAAGCAGCTCCTGGAGTTTCCATAGGAGTTTCCCAGTTTGTATGTGGCAGTTTTTAAGCAGTGAAATCCTTGCCCTGAGAGTTTCAGTGAAAAAGCTCCAAATAGTGAAATGAAGACAGGTACATATGCCATGTGTGCAAATCGCGTATCTCCTGCTGTTAAAAGAAATCTGTTGCAAATCATTGTGGTTTCTCAAGAGCTGCCTCCACCTCAGCCTTCCATTTGGCCTTCTTTTCTGTGTTCATCCTCAGCAATGTTTGATCCTTTTTAGCAGCCTTGAAAAGAAATGGTGAAAATCATTGCATGTATGTGTTTCCTGCCACTAATGTGGTATGTCCTTCCCCACATTTACACCACTTGTCTTGACACCCTATTGTCCTCTTTGATATTCTGCAGTGAGAAAAGTTAATGTATTTCCTTGTTTTACCAAATTTTCAGCATTTGCAGCTCTGATTAGCAGTGCAAATTGTTTAGAGGCGCACTGGGATATGCAAGTCAAGCTGGAGACCCTCCTTCCCCACCAGTTGGGTGGGAAGAAGAGAGTGTCACAGCTCTTGGTGGCCATGGTGGTACGGAGGATAGGCAGGCAGGAGAGCAGAAGCCTCATGGCCCATGGATGCAGGGCACGACCAGGCACCATTGACATTGTCTGAGCTCCTCTCCAACCTTTGGACCAGCCTCTTGCCGAGATACCATGATACAGAGCATTGTACTGCACGGGTTTATGGCAAAGTGGGTCAGAAGGAACACATCAACCACCGAGTTGTGCTTCCTCATGTTGCTGTCTCCTCAGGAGAATGGGTGAGACTGATCCTGTGCAAATATAACTTATATGGACTTATTCTCAAACATATCTGTCACTTGGGTGCTTACTTACAAAGAAAGTATACATAGACCATAGGTTAAGTGAGTAAGTTCCCTTCACCCAGAAGCAATACTCACTTCTTTGCCTGTGATTACCATGGCCAAACAGCCCAGCAAGGTCAGTGCAATCATGATGTAGCAAACCTTTATCCTGACGCTGTTCCTTGCTGCGTCGAGGACCTCAGACCTGTAGAGGACAGAGCAGAGTTTCCATTCTGTGTGTGAAATGAGATCACAGGGACCTGGGTAATGAACCCCCGAGTCTTTCAGAAAGAATTCAGAAAGCCTATTAATGTACAGAGCATTTCAGCCTTCTCTTTCTGCAAGTGCCTAGAGGAGGACTCAAAAAATTAGCCTATGGGGGAAAGATTTAACCCCCCTCCCACACAGGTGGGGTATTGCTACTCCCAACAGCTGTCAGTAACAACAGGAATCACAAATCCTATTCTCCTGCCTTCTTTTATTGCATGGGAGAGTGAAAACCTGAACAGTGACAAAGACGGGAAAGCCTTTCCATTGTGATAAGAGAATTATGAGGGGCCCACCTTTGGGTACTGCAGGGCAGGGCACAGGGTGTTGCACAGCACCAGGAGACAGGGGGCCATGCCATGCCACCCTCAGTGGAATAAAACCATATACACGGCATTTTGGCTAAAAGCAATGGAGAGGTTTCACAGAGGGAAGAGGCACAGCAAGTGGTGATGGGGTGAGTGGCTCTGGAGGGGACAATCACACTGTCCACACAGAGTTGTCCCAAGGAGCTGAGCAGCCACAGCCCCTGTCGGGAAACCTCCCCCACCTTCCATGGGTGACTCATGGTATTTATCCAACCATTTACTCTGGCAAGAGATGGCAGCGTGGCAATGAGTCAGCCATGAGATCCGATTTGCTGACACCTCCAAGGGGAAGGCCAGCTGGAGGAGCCCCCAGGATGTCACAAGTCAGGCAGCTTTAGGTCTCCAACACTGACATTCCTTTAACAAGATACCTCCACAAGGCGGTGAAACCATAGGCCAGATGTGAGGAACTCGTTGGAGATGTCTGCTGCCAAGGCTGTGTATAGCTCCGACTTCCTTTTAAAATGTATGCAGCATTATGACAGGACAAGGGGGAACGGTTTTAAATTGGAAGAGGGGAGATTGAGATGAGATACCAGAAAGAACTTCTTTGGTGTGAGGGTGGTGAGAGCCTGGCCCAGGTTGCCCAGAGAAGCTGTGGCTGCCCCAGCCCTGGAGGGGTTCAAGGCCAGGCTGGATGGGGCTTGGAGCAACCTGGTCTGGTGGGAGGTGTCCCTGTCCAGGGCAGGGGGGTTGGAACTGGATGATCTTTAAGGTCCCTTCCAACGCTAACCATTCCATGATTCTATGATTATTAATTGCTAATCAATAAAACCTAGATTGCAAAAACCCAAAGCAGATGGTATTTTACCATGGTGACTTCCTAGTTACAAAGCCACTTGTCCTGCAAAAGGCTGTTCAGCTTAGTCTGAAACTTATGATATACAAAACAAGCTCATCCAACTTACTTCACAGGACATGACAAAAAGTTCACGCTCCCAAAAATTTGGATTATTTTTGGACACCAGTAGCAGCAAGCCCCGTCAGCACAGAGGAATACTAATCCTCACCATGTGAGCACACTTCTGAGTAATGCAAACTAGGGTTTTAATCCGTACATTTACGTGCAAAAGCATCACTCAGGCAAAAAGACTTTAACGGCAGAAGAAAACAAGTCTACTTACGATATATACTTCGGAATGTCCTCCTCCTTTTTAAAGCGTCCTGCCCACACTAACACTTTTTTATCAAAATTTGTAGGCCTTCTGTCATTTTTGAATGCTTTGTAACCTGTAAGAGATTTTATAAAAGAAAACAAAGAGCTAGGCTTACAGATGGGAAGAGGAAAAAAGATGTCATTACAGAGGGAAAAAGATTGAGAGTTCAGGATGGCACTTTTCTATTCTGTGGGAGCCAAAAGCACTTTCTAATGTCAAAAGGACTCAGCAACTGGTGTGAGATGCTTTGTTACATTTGCAGCTTATTTCATTCTGCTTAACGTTTCTCCCCTTTAGTTTAGGTGGGTTTTAAATTGAAAATCTCTTTTAGCCTTCCTGATTAAAGGATGTAGGGTTGGTCACCCAAGCCCGCAGCATGCTCTCACCCTGCCGGCACCTTGCTCTTAAAAGGCCAAAATAGTGAGTGAAGCAAACTGCCAGCAGCACTAATAACTCCTCCACAGCATCTCTTACAAGCACTCACGGAGAGATGAGGTACATTAAAGTACAGAGGGTGGGAGGCTGGCAGTCATCCTTGCACTCTAACGATGATACAGTACACCCCGCTGGACCAGCACGGCAATGCCGTTAGCGTGCTGTCACCCTGAGCACCATCAGAAAGGGACTCTGGCTCCTCTTGATGGAAACAAGCCCAAGGCCATGAGGAAGGCAGTGGCAGGGAGACCCTGCAAAAATAGGTAGCAATCGCTAGCTCAAACCCTGGCTTTGGGATTGAACACCAGTAGGAGAGGTCACCACCAGGTAGCAGGGACTGCTCACACACACAAAATGCCCTGGGCTTGCAAATGTGGGACTGGTGTTCGGGTGACCAGGGCACGAGGAAGGGATGGATATGAAGATTCCACCAGTCTCAGTGTCCCGTGCTCCCTTGCTGTGGCTGGATCAGTGGTGCTTGGCTGCAAGGAAATCACTGCTGCTACAGAACCTACAGAACAGGGCACAGGGAGCATCTCCTCCTGCCTGGTTTGAGATGGTGAAATCCCATTCAGTGCCCAGGCCCCGGGACTGCTCACACGTGCCAGGACTTGTGAATAGCTGAAAAATCCCAGGTGTAACTCCTGGCACCCAGACCCTCCGGTTAAATGTAATCTCATGCTTCTCCTATTTCTCTCACAGAGTGCCAGTGAGACCGGGAGAGCTAAATCTGAAATACCAGCAAGCGTCTGGATCAGACATGCAGCAAGCAGTAAGATGGGTCACTAAAAGAACAGGCTCCATCCCAGGGGAGACATGGGCAAAACCCCACGCTTGGAGCCCCACAGGAGTGTGGGCAGCCCAGCCTCACCAATCCTGGCCAAGGAGGGGGCGACTGGTTAAAAAGAGGAACCACCTCCGTGCCAGGGAGCTGGGTGTGTGGGAGCAGCCCATGCCCACGAGCCCCCACAGTGGTGGGGGACATCTCTCAGGGAGCATCGGGGGGGCCAGGAGTGTGGGTCTGCCCCCTGCACAGCCCTGCACATTCAGAGAAGTGCCCTGGTCCTCCCCCAGGCACCTGGGCAGGAGGAGGAACTTTTCTTTATTTATTTGTAATTACCGGGTTCCCTGACATGAGGTGTCAGTTTGTACTGCCTGCCAGAGGAGGAAGACTATTTAACACATAAAAACCTTCATCCCTGTGCTCTGCATTAGTCAGACCCCTCGGTCTGCCCCATGTCTCGGGACCATCTGTGACCCCAGGAGATGTGGTGTGAGAAGTGCCCTGGTCCTCCCCCAGGCACCTGGGCAGGAGGAGGAACTTTTCTTTATTTATTTGTAATTACCGGGTTCCCTGACATGAGGTGTCAGTTTGTACTGCCTGCCAGAGGAGGAAGACTATTTAACACATAAAAACCTTCATCCCTGTGCTCTGCATTAGTCAGACCCCTCGGTCTGCCCCATGTCTCGGGACCATCTGTGACCCCAGGAGATGTGGTGCTGCAGTAACAGCCACAGCCAAGAAGAGGGGTTGTTTTCTTGCCCATTCCTGCAAATACCCTCTCCCTCCATCCTGCGGCACAAAACCAGCGTCCAGCCCTTTACCCACCTGGAATAGCCGTCTGTGAAGCTGCCTCCTGATCCTTCTTGGCTTTGCCACTGATGAATCTGGTGGGGAGCAGGACCTGCCGAGCCCCCCGCCGCCACAGCCCAGGGCTGCGCCCCAGCAGCATCCCCAGCATCCCTCCCCACCCACCTGGACCACGCTGGGAACCCGCCGGGTCCCAGAGGGCTGTTTCTAAGAGCTATTAACATAAAACTACCCTTTCCTGCCCTTCCACCCTGGCCGCCAACAGTTTTTTTTTTGCTTGCGTCATCGTGACTAGTTAAATTTATGGCTGGTGTTTGCCAAAAGGACACACCTTCGGAGCCGGGCGGGCAGAGATCACCCCTCTGGCCGCTGGCACCCAGCCCTGCCCCAGGCTCCCCACCACAAGGAACCTCTGGGGAAAGCTGCAGGGATTTACCTTTTTTCCCCAGTTCTTACTGTGGTAGGACCAAAATAGGACAGACAGCATGCTGTATTTCCCCAAAGATAGGCTCAGCGATTAAATTTATGGCTGGTGTTTGCCAAAAGGACACACCTTCGGAGCCGGGCGGGCAGAGATCACCCCTCTGGCCGCTGGCACCCAGCCCTGCCCCAGGCTCCCCACCACAAGGAACCCCTGGGGAAAGCTGCAGGGATTTACCTTATTTTCCCAGTTCTTACTGTGGTAGGACCAAAATAGGACAGACAGCATGCTGTATTTCCCCAAAGATAGGCTCATTGACTGCTAATTATCGCAGCCAGTTAAGCTGCTAGACTTCTTAATTGTTCTCAGCTAAAAAATAAGCTTGCAAATCAGTTCTGTTAAACAGGCTTTTTGAAGAGGAGCCACGTTTCCTCTCTCCCAGAATAAATGTGGTTTGGCAGAAGGAAACCGAAGCCAACGTTTGTGGCTATAAATGCAGATGGGGAACCCACCTCACATCCGGGCTGCAAGCTCTCCTGGCAAATAAATGTATTCCAGGTTTAAATCAGTAAACTAAGAAATAATATCAAAACCCTCAGGTGATGTAGTATTTGTCAGTGAGTAAAATTGTCATTAAAACGTTGCGGTACCTGTAAAGTATTTGCCCTCTTTGAACTCAGTCTCCAAGAAGTCTGAACAGTGCTGAATGTTTCCCATAACATCAGCTGTTCTAACCAGAGAATGAACCAAAACCGATGTTATTTTATCACTTTGACGTTTCTCCTGCGTTTTGCACAAAATTCTCCCCGATGAGTCAGGAAATGGAAATGCAAATGCAAACTACTCGTTTCGTTTGGAGCGGTGGGGTATTTACTCTCCTTAGACCTACAAGGCTCTAAAGCTGACTTACAGCTAGGGGGAAAAAAAAAAATCTATTAGAAAGAGAAGAAGCAGTTGCCGAAAGGAAAATTTTCAGAACTTAGTAATACTATCAAATGCAATATTGGAGCTAATCAAAGTGTGTCTAAGAGCAAGGGCAAGAACTGCAAGGGAATGTACCTCAGGATGTTGGCAAGAATATTCTTTAAGGGCTGAGAGGACAAAATACATGAGATAGATGCAGCTCCAGTTACCCATCTCCTGGCCCCAAGGAAAAACTCTACCATTTATAAAGACATTTTATATTTTTTGAGAAGACAAAGTTATTGATATGGAGGAAAGGAGAAACTTGCAGCAATGACGAAAGTTGTTTTTCCTCTTTCATGAAATCTCCACAACGCATCCGGACATACCATAATGTGTTTAGCTTAATTTGCTTATAATTTGGTAAAGCAAATTAGATCTGTTTCCAGATTAGGAACCCACATAGAAAATAAATGGTGGTTTGAGCTTCCAGCTGCAAATGAGACCTGCAAACAAGGAGAAATCAGGGAATGTGATTATGCTGGAAACTGGTAAGTGTGTCCTGCTCAGGGTTTCCTTGGGGAAGACGGGTGTGAGGAAGAGGAAAGGGGCATTTATAGCATGAAGTTTATGGGGCTCAGCACCACTGAGCATCCCCACGGGCCCTTTTCTTGCTTTGCAGAAGAGCTGAGTGGAATAAAGGCACTATACACCTGGACATCCACGGGCTGTGCTGCCACGACGCCCACTTGGATGACACCAAACTCCACAGGGGCTCTGCCTGCGTGGAACATTTTCATTTTAACAGGCACTCTCCAAAATGCCTATTGCAAAAGTGACTATCTTTATGTCATGTCTGAGTATGGATTTGAAGAGGAAAAAAAAAATAAAAATTATTTTATCTCTCAGTTTCTCAAACACAGAGAAAATCATGGGGTTTTTCAGGCCTCTGGTGCTTATCCACCCAGGGGTTGCCAACTATTTCCTACAGAGGACACACCAGCTAACAGCTGTATTAATCACATCCACTGTGAGCAAAAAAACACTTCAGGATTTATTATGCCAGCATTTAGAAGTGCAAAGACACAGAGGTCCTCATGAAGCCACAAAGTTACTTGTTCCTGAATATTACTCATTTCTCTGGCACCATGAATGCTTAACACCAGGGTGAGTTTTACTGCAGTGCATGAATGCTAATAAAAAGCCATAAACACCACTGCGTTAGGAAATCAAGCCATCCTGTGTGCACTGTGGATCTCTGTCTGGCCCAGAGTGTCTTGAATCCTGAATGGCAGAGAGATGCAGAATGCTCCGGGACCATGGTAGCCTTGTGTGTAGTGTGATGGCCTTAGTTGTCCTTAGCAAAGTTTTGTGCCCAGCCCACAAACCCTTTGCTGTGAGGGTGGTGAGAGCCTGGGAAAAGTTTTGTGCCCAGCCCAGCACATGCCCAGGTTACAAACCATCCCCAGGAGGCTCAAACATTCACTCCCTCTCCAAGACACCACTGCTTCCCATCAGTGACTCATTAGCAGAGCACAACCATTATTCCATGATCATTGATGCTCAGAGGGCTGGAGCCCCTCTGCTGTGAGGACAGGCTGAGAGAGCTGGGGTTGTTCAGCCTGGAGAAGAGAAGGCTCCGGGGAGACCTGAGCTCACATACAGGGAGTTTGTTGTACAAGAGTAACAACTTGTTCAGAGATGCAGAAATAGCAAAACTGGGCTTAAAGCACCATCTTCTCCTCCTTCCATGTCCTTCTTCCAGGAGGACAGCAAGACTTCGTCCCCTCAAGAGGCCCCGGAGGGTGCAGAAGACAGCTCACACACCAAGTAGCTGCACAGACATCCCCCAGCTTCCTTTGACCCTTGCCACGAGGGGAGAGCAGGGATGTGAGAGGGTCTGGGTTACAGAGGAGCAGGGGACGGTTGGCAGCTGTGGTGGTGGGGCAGACTCCTGACATTCCTGTTTTCTGTGTGAGACAGATAGGCTAAGCTCACAGACAGGGAGTTTGTTGTACAACAGTAACAACTTGTTCAGAGATGCAGAAATAGCGAAACTGGGCTTAAAGCACCACCTTCTCCTCCTCGGACGGTTGGCAGCTGTGGTGGTGGGGCAGACTCCTGACATTCCTGTTTTCTGTGTGAGACAGATAGGTAACACTTGCTGCACAGTGGTGCCAGCACTGAGAACAGAAAACTCAACACAAACCTCCCAGGGCTCCATCCCAGATCTGCATCATCTTCGCAGCCTTCTGTGCCCCCTCAGACTCTGCTCCTGCAGCTGACTCTGCAGCAAGGAGCAGCTGCCAGTCCTCCTCCCCTCCTTCAGTGCACACAAAAACCTCACCACAAGGGCAGAGCAGGGATCTGAGAGGGTCTGGGTTACAGAGGAGCAGGGGACAGTTGGCAGCCATGGTGGTGGGGCAGACTCCTGACATTCCTGTTTTCTGTGTGAGACAGATAGGTAGCACTTGCTGCACAGTGGTGCCAGAACTGAGAATGGAAAACTCAACACAAACCTCCCAGGGCTCCATCCCAGATCTGCATCATCTTCGCAGCCTTCTGTGCCCCCTCAGACTCTGCTCCTGCAGCTGACTCTGCAGCAAGGAGCAGCTGCCAGTCCTCCTCCCCTCCTTCAGTGCACACAAAAACCTTTGCAGAACTGGAACTGACAGGCAATGATGTAAAATACATTTTTCTTTTTAAAAATCCATTGGTTTTTGATTTCTGACTGACTTTACACTGTCTTTCCCAGTACCTTAATTCTGATTATTGTCAGCCTGTTACAGCAATGAGAAACTTGGACTCGGATCCTCTTCACCTGTTCTTTTTCTGCTTTCAATAGCCACTGGAATGAAAGACTTTGTTCCTCCAGTAGCCCCAGGTTCCTCTACATCCCTTTACATCTCCCGGCTAATTTTCATATGATTGCACAACAAATTTTTTATTCATATACACAAAATAATTCATAGCAGTATTCAACCAAAAAAAAGTATTACTTTTTTCACGTGCAGTGTCCTCAGAACCAAATGGCTTACCACCAGGCTCTGTCTTGCATGCCATGCAAATTTTTTACATGAGGGCTGTGATGAAGAGCAGGAGATAATCTTATCTTAAAATTCTTTGCCTTGCCCCCCATCTAACTAAATATGCAGCAGAGCTCTGTCTTGGATCCTAGATGAGATAAACAAGCAATCCTGGATGGACTCGGAGCTCATGGAATTCTAAGTGAGTCAGGAAATATTCCTCCATGAAAATGTGCATTCTCCAGCAGCTCAATTTAACACAGCGGGAGCAATGAATTGTTTTGAAATGTCTCACCTACCTGCAGGGTGTCAGCCAAGAACACGGCCCTCCTCTCCAGGGTCCCCAGGGAGCAGCAGCACTGGGGGCTTCAGTTCTCTCCAGGAGGTGGGGTCACATCCTCCCCATATCAGGAAATCATCCGCCCGAAGGAGACTCAACTGCAAATCCTAAGAAACTAAAAGCTCCTTAACTATTTCTCACCGTGGCCAAGTCAAATCAAGGGAACTTCTCTGGCAAAACCAGACTCAGAGGGTTTGTAAAGAGCTCTGAAAACAAGCACCGGCATGTGACTTAAATCACTTCAGGACACTCAGGTTTGGTTTGGTATTTTTTTGATAATCTTGAGTGTTATCAACAAAATAAGACAACTGCTAAAACAGAGCAGAGACAATGAAAGAGTCCCCCCCACCCTTTCTGTGTTAAACTTCAGCTCTGCTTTAAAAAAAAATGAAATCAAGATTCCTCTATCCAGTTACTGGAAGGTCTTGCATTTTCTACCAATATTGTCCCTATTCCTCCTAATTTGATGGTATCACTACCATATGAAAAATCTTGCCTAACAACCATAAATAAGACACTAATCAACACTGCTAAAAAACCCACCAAACCCCCAAACCCA